AACCCGCACTTGCTTTCAATTTCCCATCAAAAAGCGACTCGATAATTTCGTGCACATACCCCTCTACCTCATGCACCGATTTCCAGCACTTAGCAACGGGTGCTGGAATTGGTGGGAAGGTATGAGCTGGCATGGGTGGGTGGGCCCTACCGCCCCACCTGTAAGGCGGTAGGGGCCACTTGGGTGGATGGGCCCATGGCCACGTAGGACGTGAGTAGGGGTAATGGTGCCACCATGGAATGAAAGGCCATTTTCGGGGCATTTTAGTACCATTATCATCATCAATGATCATCAAGCTTTAGAAGGTGGCGACTTGGCTTGACCAGCACAATGTTTACGCGCAAGATGAAAGAACGGAATTCTAAAAACAAAAGGAGAGCAATCATCCTTAACATCCATAACAGCCTTGCAACAACCCGCACTTGCTTTCAATTTCCCATCAAAAAGAGACTCGATAATTTCGTGCACATACCCTTCTACCTCATGCACCGATTTCCAGCACTTAGCAACGGGTGCTGGAATTGGTGGGAAGGTATGAGCTGGCATGGGTGGGTGGGCCCTACCACCCCACCTGTAAGGCGGTAGGGGCCACCTGGGTGGATGGGCCCATGGCCACGTAGGACGTGAGTAGGGGTAATGGTGCCACCATGGAATGAAAGGCCATTTTCGGGGCATTTTAGTACTGTCTTCCTCAAACTCAAATCTCTGATGATTTAAGGCAGAACCATGGCTAATCAACATGGCCATGCAAACGAGAAAGAAGACTAGCGTGGTTGAGATTTTCGACATGGTTCAAACACTTGAAAACTCTCTCTCTCTCACTGATGATTTTCTTTGATGTTGAAAATGAGAATTTGGGTGGGAATATATATAGGGTTGAGTTGATGAGTGGGTGAGTAGTTGGAATGGATAACAATTGAGATTTGATTGAGTGAGACATTTTCGAATTTAGATTTTTATGGGATGTGATTTGTTTTTGTTTTAATGAGTATCTTGTGAAGATGAATATTGTTGAGATTTTGGTTTATCTTTTTTGGGTTGAGGATGAATTTGTGTTGTAACAAAATAGCATTGGTTCTATTTGGTAATCAGTAACACAATAGCATTTGCTGAGGATAAATTTGTGTTGTAAATGTAATCAGTATTTTTTTTTTTAATAATTCAGGCAAATATTTTTTTTTTATTTTTTAGATACACCTAATTTAAATATGTTTAAAAAGTAAATGTTTGTGAATTTTTTTTTTAAATTCAAATAATACAAAAAGAAATGAAAATGTACTGATTTATTTTATTTTATTTTTTTGACATTTTTAATATTTAGTGAATTTTAAAATATTTTTTATACAAATTTTATATTTTTTAAAATTAAAATTAAGTGTATCAAAAAAATAAAACAAAAATGTCAAAAACATTTAAAAAGTTTATTATATATAAAAATATAAAAATTAAAAACTCAAAAAATATTTTTGAAAATTCTAAACGAACGGGGTGTTTATTTTTCTAAGGTTGAATCCCAAGAAATTAGTTTGCGAGGAAAAAGATGTTTTGATTCGATAAGGGCTCTTTAATGACAAACCGCTGTTTAGAGCTTAGTTTTAACATATAATATTTCAATATACGACGTTGAATAATGCTAAAAACATTAGTGTATGTGGCACAATTTTAAAATTTTGAGTCTTTATAATTTGTATAATAGGTAAGATTATAATTTTAAAATGATAATTTATTGATACACTAATTAGTATACCAATTGATACATGTAGTATCACTGTACAACATTAGAGAAGCAACGAGGCTTTTTTTTTTTTTTGGAATTTTTATTAATAAATCTCATTTAGAAGTGTTTTAATCCAAGAAGTACATAAAAGAATTTTTTCACCCACTTAGTCCCATGTATTTATACTTTTATTCCATAAAACCATTTTTCTTGATTTACATTATTTTCTTACACTCTTATACTCTTATATTTAATATTGATTAATGTTGGGGGAGGAGAGAGAAGGAAAAGCACCAAGATATAGAAAATTTCATACACAAATTAAATAATATTTGTGTTATTTTTTTATATTATTATATAATGTGAATATATTTTTAATTGACAACAAATTAAAAATAATGTAAACATTCTCTCTCATCTTATGTAAATATATTTTTAACTGACAACACATTAAAAATAATGTGAACATTCTATCTCATTTTCTTTAAAAAAAAAAAAAATTCTATCTCATTTGATGTGAAAGTTCACAACACCTTTTAGAAAAATTTTCTCTTATCTAATGTAGTAATGTGAACGTTTATAACATGTAAACCTTCTTATTTTTAATTGATAGCACATTAAAAATAATGTTAATTATATTTTTAATTAATAATACATTTTTATTCACAATATGTAGTGATGTGAATATTTACAACATGTGAACATTCTCTTTCATCTAATGTAATGATGCAAATGTTCACATTCGTATGTTTTAGTATGAAAATTCACACCATATAATTGACAACACAATGACAAAAATTCATTTAAAATTAATGTGAATATAATGATGTGAATATTCATTTCAATTACATAATGTGAATATTCACATCATGTAATTGACAACACAATGATAAAAATTCATTTCAAATTAATATGAATATAATGACAGTCAACATGCATAGAAACTATTAAAACATAATGACAATCAATATTAAATATCAACATTAATAGAGGACAAGAGAGATTGAGGGTATTTTGATCTTCTTACCTCAAATAAGATCTAATGGGATAGTCAGAAAGAATATGAGTTAGATGAAATAAAACTCTTAAAAATAGGATTTATCAAAAAAACTCCTCTTTTTTTTTCGTTGTACAAAAATATAATTAGTGAAGAGGGTCATTTACAAAGCATAAGCAGAACAAAGAGGATATCGCAATCCCAAGGGCAATGCTTGGGCCTGGTAACGTTACAAGATCAGAATGTTAAAACCCAGGCACGAGTTTGGGCCGAGCTAGTGTTCAACGGTCCAAACTGTGTGGGCCAAGCGTTTACTTGAACCAGAGAAGAACCACCAAGGGACCAAACATCAAGACCAAATGTGATTTTAAGCCCAACGAACCAAGTAATCCGAACCACGCAGCCCAAAGTACGAACTTGGACCGAGCGTAGCTAAGGAGGATGACCAACTTGAATCAGGGCGCCAAACCAACCGTAAGAGCATCCGATACAAACCAATCGTGCAAATTAACTCACGTCCAATATACGGAAGGAGCATTTGAGTTGCCACGAATAACGGAATTGCTTAACGGATTCTTTGCTCTTCCCATTGAGGAGCAACCTAACATTTCGACTAAGTGTCGGGCGGCAAACAAAGAAACTTGGTGAGCAAGTCGAACGGTCCTTATAAAAGGTAACTTGACTCTCCTTGAGAGGGATCGACCTCTTCACACTCTAAACTTACTCGTATACTCTACCTTTACCATATCAAATTCTGGTACTGACTTGACCGTCGAAGGAGTTTCTGACCAATCCCCGATCAGGCAGCCTAACCGTTCGTTTCTTGCGCAGGCCTTCACCCAACGATGCACCAGAGTTCGTCCATGAAGTTTCATTTTACTCTATTATGGAAATCAGTCCGCACATTTGGCGCCGTCTGTGGGAATCGTTCTCTGATTGCTTTGTGACGAACTCCGACGATGAGTATTGAAGGAACCTCGCAACCTGGGATTGGAGTGAAAACTCCAGCAACGGAGAGAACCAAAGACAAGGGTCTGGCCTTCCCTACCATAAATGATAACCTGATGGACCACGACAGCCCGACCCTCGATACGGCAGAGCGACGTCATGCCACCGCGTATCAGTCATCTCAACGGCTATTTGTTGAGAAGGACCACCGTGATCGTGTCATTGACTCGATGAGTCTGGAGATTGAGAAGCTACGTGCTCAACTGAGGAAGCAGATGGCACCTCAAGGTGAGCCAAGGAAGTTCTGAGGGGGACTATCGCAGCAACGGAGGCATACTCTTCCACCGCCCCCACGACGGGAACGGTCTAACTACGGTCCTGTTCGTGGTGAGCGTAGCCGGCCAATTCCAGTACATAGTGAGGAAGCCAGTAGTAGGATAGAGAATCTCCGAGAAGACCCTCGCAAGAGACAAAAGTCCATTAGTCATTATTCAGCAATCTCTTTGCCTCCGCGCTGTCGTAACAAGCGACCGCGTGACTTGAGAACATGGTTGAACGACAACCGAGAAGATAACCGACGGTCGAACAAAGTAGCAGAGCGGCGATTAGAAAGGGAAAAAGAGCATCTAGATCGGTCTGTTCATCAGATAGAGCGTCCGTGCTCTGGGCCGACTAGTCTCTTCCCCCCTTTGCCCTGAGATTGAAGCGGTGGAAGCTCCTCATAAGTACAGTCCACCGAAATTCATCCTCTATGATGGGAAGTCAGACCCCCTAACTCATATCAGCCACTACCGCCAAATGATGTCCCTTTGGAATCAGAACGATGCGTTCATGTGCAAGGTTTTTGCCTCTAGCCTTGGTGAGCACGGCCTCCAGTGGTATGACAAGCTTCCTCCTCAATCAATCTATGATTGGGCTCAGCTCTCTGAGGCCTTCCTCGCACAGTTTGTTTCTAATAGCTGAATCCCGAAGGGGTTGGACACCTTGTTCAATATTCGAAAAGATAAAAAGGAGTCTTTGCGCGAATACGCTCGACTGTATTGGGAGGCATATGGCGATTTGGAAGAAGATGTTTGTAGTGAGCCGTTGGTAGCCCTATACTTCAAACAAGGCCTCCCCCCTTCACATAAGCTCAGGTAGTCATTGACGAAACGTCCTGCCTCTGATTTGAAAGAGCTAAGGGGTCGAATAGAGGAGTGAACCCGTGTGGAAGATGACACAGCCTCTGTTCAAGTGTCAGTTGCCGATGAGGGAGTTAAGGCCTCCTAGAAACATAGGGCCGAACAGCCTATGAGGGAGGACCAAAGAAGGAGGTATGGCCAAAATAAGCAACTAACCATGAAAATTGAAGAGGAAAGGAGTAGATCCTATGAAGCCATAACCACTGTGTTCACGGAGCCAATTTACAGGCTCTTGGAAAAAATCAAGGGAGAACCCTACTTCGTTTGGCCTTCTAAGATGATGGAGGACCCTGCTCGGCGCAATCAGGAGTGGCGGTGCACCTATCATCGTGAGAAGGGGCATAAGACGCAGAACTGCAGAGACCTTAAGAGGCATCTTGAAGACTTGGTCACTGTCGGCCATCTCCAACAATGGATTGATGTGGAGAAGACAAGGGCAAAACAGGGACAACCCCTAGCCCCTCCACCAGAAGACCAAGCCCCAAGGCTAGTGATCAACGTCATCCATGGGATGACCGACCCCCAAAGGGAGAATGCCCTTCGTGGCGAGATTCAGAGAGCCACGCACTTGCAACAAGTCATGTCAGTAAGACCATTGCTCAAGAAGTCCAGAACGGAAGGAAATTCCTCTTAGTTCGACATTGTGTTCTCCGAAAAGGATTTGGACGGGATCCAATATCCTCACACTGATGCCTTGATCGTCACCGTCGGTGTGGCGAACAAATTTGATGTGAAACGAGTCCTAATTGATCAAGGGAGCGCCGCTAACATTATGTATTATGACCTTTTCAAAAAGCTGGGTCTTGATGAGCAACACTTAATCCCCGCAATCTCCCCTCTAGTCGACTTCAATGGACAGACAGAGTGGTCGCTCGGCCGAATCACCTTGTCCGTCACAGCAAAGTCATAAGTGGTCCCTGTCGACTTCTTCGTGATTAATACTCCATCTCCTTACAATGCAATCCTTGGCTGACCTTGGATTCATACAATAGAGGCGGTGCCATCCACTTACCACCAGGTAGTCCGTTTCCCAACAAAGAATGGGGTGGAGGAGATGAGGGGTGACCAAGTAGCGGCAAAACACTGCTTCATCGCTGCTATGAAGTCTAAACAAGCATGCAAGGAAGTCCAAATGGTCGAACTGCCTGATCAGCCTGTACTAGAAGACATTGGTAGACTACCAATAGAGAAGATGGTGGAGGATCTCGAAACAATCTTAGTGGATGGAGAAGATCCAGACAAGTTCTTTCTGTTCGGCACTTCGTTTCTCGCCGAAGAGAATGAGCAATTGCTAGCTCTCCTCCGCAAGAATATCGAAGTGTTTGCCTGGTTTGCTTACGAGACCCTTGGGTTAGACCCAGCCTTTGCATGTTACAAACTCAACGTCCAACCAGCAACTCGGCCCGTGGTCCAAAAGAGCAGACGATCATCCGCAGAACATACGGAAGCGGTCATCCAAGAGGTAAACAAGCTTCTGGCAGCAGGGGTCATTCGGGAGGTACAATATCCGAAATGGTTGTCTAACACCGTTATGGTGAAGAAAAAGAATGAAAAATGGAGGGTATGCATCGACTTCACTGGCCTCAACAAAGCTTGTCCTAAGGACAGCTTTCCTCTCCCACGAATAGACCAACTGGTGGACGCAACAGCTGGATATGAACGAATGAGCTTCCTGGATGCTTACAATGGCTATCATCAAATCCCTTTGTTTGGCCTTGACCAGGAGAAGACAGCATTCATTAGCCCAAGGGGCACCTACTGCTACAAAGTGATGCCTTTTGGCCTGAAGAACGCCGGTGCGACCTATCAACGGATGGTCACTAAAATGTTCAAGAACCAACTAAACAAGACTATGGAGGCCTATATAGATGACATGGTGGTCAAAAGCAAATTGGCCAAACATCATCTGAGAGACTTAGAGGAAGTGTTCCAAATCCTGAAGACCTACAAGGTTCGTTTGAACGCCTCAAAATGTGCATTCGGGGTAAGTTCAGGGAAGTTCTTGGGATATATGGTGACCAGACAAGGCATCGAAGTCAATCCCGACCAGATCAAAGCCCTCTAAGACATTGAGGCACCTAGGAAAGCTAGGGAACTCCAAAAGCTCACTGGTATGGCCGCAACATTGAATCGTTTCATTAGTCGGTCTTCCGATCGAATGAGACCCTTCTTCCAACTCCTAAGGAAGAAGGCAAACTTCGAATGGGGTGACCAATGCTCCGAAGCACTCACCGAGTTGAAGAAGTATCTTTCTTCTCCTCCTCTTTTGTCTACTCCAGTCCCTAACGAAGAGCTCTTTCTTTACTTGGCTGTCTCCGATTACGCTGTGAGTGTAGTCTTGATTAGAGAGGAAGGGAAGAAACAAAAGCCAGTATACTACGTTAGCAAAACCCTCTTGGATGCCAAAACCAGATACCTACCTCTAGAGAAGCTGGCATACGCCCTACTGATAGCCTCCAAGAAGCTTGCTCACTACTTCCAAGGACACACTATCAATGTCCTCACAGAGTACCCTCTAAAGTCTGTGTTCAGCCGAGCTGATTTCTCGGGGCAAACAACGAAGTGGGCAGTATAATTGGATGAGTTTGACATTAAATTCCAGCCATGGATTGCTATCAAAGCTCAAGTGTTAGCAGACTTCGTAGCAGAATTCACTCCCGGACTGACCGGCCCCTCTGAAGGGAGCTCGGCCTTAGCAACCGGAATCCATAACACTTATCAAACCCCCACCGAGGCATGAAAACTTTTCATTGGAGACGTTTGGCAGTTGTTCGTTGATGAATCCTCCAACCAAAAGGGTTTTGGAGCTGGAATGGTCCTTATTTCACGAGGGGTTTGTTTGGGAGCAAGCCGTCAGACTGGGATGGAAGGTTTCCAACAACGAAGCTAAGTACGAGGCTCTGCTAGCTGGCCTATGCAGCACTGAACACTTTAATGCAGAGGAGTTGCTCGTTTATAGCGACTCCCAACTTGTGGTGAACCAATTGACTGGAGTATACGAAACTCGCGATGACCGGATGACATCCTATGCAGAACAAGCCAAGCACCTGATTCGCAAGTTTCAAGCTATCAGGGTTGTGAAAATTGGCCGTGATGGAAATAGCCACGCCGATGTTTTGGCCTGTCTTGGCTTTTCGGTGGACTCCAGAAATTGTCGCAAGATATGGGTTGAATTTGTTCCTCAACCGACTGTCGATCCACCCAGCTCGGTCCTCTATACTGACCTCGGTCCGAGCTCGATGGACCCACTCCTTGCCTTCTTAAAAAATGGTGCCCTCTCAGATGACAAGAAAGAGGCACATAAAACAAGGCACCGAGCTGCGCGATTTTGGGTCTCACCTTCGGACAAGCTCTACAAAAAGTCTTACCTTGGTCCGTATCTTCTTTGTGTTCACCCCAATCTTGTGGAGAACTTTCTTTATGAAATCCACGAGGGGATCTGTGGTAATCACATTAGAGGTCGGTCCTTGGCACACAGAGCCCTCACTCATGGATACTAGTGGCCGCGTATGCAGAAAGATGCCCAACAGTATGTCCAAAAATGCGATAAGTGCCAAAGGTTTGCCCTACTCATTCATCAACCAGCCAAGTACCTAACTCCCCTCACCAGTCCATGGCCATTTTCACAGTGGGGTCTAGACATCGTTGGACCTCTAGCAAGGGGTACTGCTAACAAAAGGTTCTTCGTTGCTACCACTGACTATTTCACTAAGTGGGTAAAGATTGAAGCCTTAGCAAACATAAAGGAAGCTAACATGAAAAGGTTTCTTTGGAGGAGTGTCATTACTAGGTTTGGCACTCCAAGGGCCCTACTATCCGACAATGGCACCCAATTTGATGGGAAGGTTTTTAGAAAGTTCTACTCTGACTTAAAAATTGAGTTTAGAAATTCTACTCTAGTCTACCCTCAAGGCAATGGTCAAGCTGAAGCGTCTAATAAGACGGTCATCAATGGGATGAAGAAGCGGTTGGAGAAGGCCAAAGGCAAATGGGTAGAAGAACTACCAAATGTTTTATGGTCATACAGGACTACACCAAGGCGATCAACATGAGAGACGCCCCTACTCCCTCACTTATGGAATGGAGGCTATCATCCTCTTGGAGGTCGGCTTTCCCACAATTCGGTTTGAAATCTTCGAACCAGCAAACAATGATGAGGCCATCGCTCAAGCTCTAGACCTAGCAGAGGAACGCAGAGAGGCCGCCCTCATACGCTTGGCAGCCTATCAACAACAACTTACCAGAAGCTTCAATAAGAATGAGCTTGTCAGACAATTTATACCTGGTGACCTGGTACTAAGGAAGGTCGTGGATCATAAAAAGATCCCTGGAGAAGGGAAGCTCGGACCCAACTGGGAAGGGCCGTACAAAGTCACATCTGCTTTGGGCAACGGAGCTTACTATTTGGCCGACCTAGATGGCAAGTCCATTCCTCGTCCTTGGAATGTTGCCAATTTGAAGAAATACTATCAGTGATATTGTGACTTGAATATCTATCAAATGTAATTCTCATTTTATGAGTATCAATGAAATCAACTTTTCTTTACAAATTGTGTTCTTTTTCATATGTGTCGTGCATATTTTCGCTCAGTAATTGAGCAAGATTGGGTTACGGGTCTTAACCTATGCCCTAGCCCGAAATCTCGGCCTCTGGTCGGAGAAGGGCACCAAGTGGTATTGCTTGGTGGAATTTGTACCAAGCATCGTTACTTGAAAGCATGATCCATGGTAACAACTCGCGCTCACTGGAGAGTCGAGATACGCTCATTGATGAGCTAAACTTGAACAAATCAACTAAAGATCAAGCAACAACGTGTTTGGTCAAACTCAGCATATTTTAGTTATTTATTTATTTTCTAAAATTTTGTCTAAGGTAGGAAGCCTGGTCCATCCAAAGAGACGGTTCGTTCGGTTTCAAAGCCTCTACTCGGCCGAAGAGCGTACAAAGATTTCTTAAAAACAATAAGCATGGTCTGTCCGAAGAGACGATCTATTCAGCCTTGGAGCATTTGCTCGGCCGGAGGGCATACAAAGCTCTCTTAAAGGCAGGAAGCCTGGTCTGTCTGAACATACGATCTGTTTGGTCTCGGAGCCTCTGCTCGGCCGAAGGGCATACAAAGCTCTCTTAAAGGCAAGATGCCTGGTCTATTTGAACAGACGGTCCGTTCGGCCTCAAAGCATTTGCTCGGCCAGGGGCATGCAAAGTTTTTGAAAAAGCAAGAAGCATGGTCTATCCGAAGAGGCAATCTATTCAATCTTGGAGCCTTTGCTCGGTCGGAAGGCATACAAAGCTCTCTTAAAGGCAGGAAGCCTAGTCTGTCCGAACAGATGGTCTGTTCGGTCTCGGAGCCTCTGCTCGACCGAAGGGCATACAAAGCTCTCTTAAAGGCAAGATGCCTAGTCTATCCGAACAGACGGTCCGTTAGACCTCAGAGCATTTACTCGGCCGGGGGCACGCAAAGTTTTTTGAAAAAGCAAGCATGGTCTGTCCGAACAGACGGTCCACTCAGCCTCGGAGCCTCTATTCTGCAGGGAAGCATACAATACTCATGAAAAACAAAGATGAAAAGCAAAGAATTCGTTAAGCAATTCCGTTATTCATGGAAAATCAAATGCTCCTTCCGTATATTGGAC